GTTGAATGAATGGTCCGCGCTGTGGTGCGTGAGGTGGACGGGACGTGGGTGCGGTGGAGGAGGCTGAAGTACACACAAGCCTTGGCTTTGGTGACAAGGTACCTCTGAGCCTGCCTGCCCTGACTGCAGTCTGCCTGCGCAAGGAACCAAATGTGAATGACGGGGAAGGCCTGCTGCTACGTACCTTTTTCTTCTTTGCTGGCGTAGGAATTAGCTTGGCTTTTGGTCGAAATGCTTGGCCAAGACGAGACGAAAGTGAAGTGGGTGGAAAGATCTGCCTTGGGGGTTGTCTCAGGTTCAAGGCCCAAGTATTGGTTTAAATTTTAGGAAGGGGGAGAGGGGAAGGGAGAGGTAAGGTAGAGGTAGAGGTAGAGGTAGAGGCAGACGGAGAGAGAGAGAGGGAAAAAAAGATTGATTTTGATGGGTGATGGATAGCCAGAGGGGTGATGGTATTGACTGACTGAGTGAATGGGACGGGAGAGACCTGAACGGACTTAGAAGGCGGAGGTCGGAGACAGTCTCGACAATGGAGACCCAGGAAGGCACGAAGGGGAGACGAAAAAAGGAGGAGGGGTGGGGGTGGTGGCATCACAAAATTTGGGGAAAGGACGTATGTACTCCGTACCTGTCGTACCTTGCCTTACTTCCACGGGCACAAAGATACATCAATACTTATGGAGGTTCACTCTCAGACAGGTACCTTAGACTCACTGAAGTTTTTGCTGGGGACAGAGAGGGACAAGAAATTTCAAAGGGAAAATGCAATGCTCCCAAGGTGACAAGTGTGTACTCCGTACCGGTAGTGGGCTGGACCCGGCCAATGCAGACCTCAGGCCAGCGAGAGGCCAGGAAGTGGGAGGACTCGGCTAACCATGTATCACTGCCCCAAAGTCGATGCTGGAGATACAAGAGATCATAGTGTGGGGGACGCAGCAAGGGTACGCCCACTAAACCACAAACAAACAAGGTGCGACTCTGGACCACTCTGCCACTGAAGTTTGAGCCGAGCTGACTTTTGTAAGCTTTGGGGCCACCGCAGACCGTGGAAGCCAAGCTGGAGAGAAGCACAGAGACCGTTGTTTGGGGAACTGGGTACGTACTCGGGCACCGTGGAAGGTGCGAATGGGAATGGTAGGAAAAGGGGAGGTACGGATACTTGTGGCGATACGTACCTTCCCTACTCTTTCCCGTGGAAGGTCAACCCTCAGGCATGATATTCTTAGCACCTTTTTTGATGCGAAATGCGAGATACGTACCTTACCTTAGTATTCAGTCCAACACCCCAACTCTCATTAATTTGCACGACCGTCTCTTCCTTGGAGTTTGGTACAACAATCATAAATCCACAACATCATCATAACTCGCATCAACCTGGCAAGATGGACACCCGCTGGCTGCGCAACGAAACATCAGCATCCTCCAGCCCCATAGCAAGCCTGTAAAGGTATGCCACGATGCTTGGGTGGGCTGTCTCGGACTACTTTCACCAGCACAGGGCCAAAGGGGGCGACAACAAACTTGTGACAACTGTGACAGACCGCCAAGCGATCAGGGACCAGCCAACAGAAAGGGAAAGGAAAGCGCAGAGACCAGCAAAAGAGCAAAACAGCGAGCGGTACGGAGTACGCATAGCAAGGGGAAAAAAAGAGAAAGAAACCCGCCGACGATCTGAGCGCTGACGCAGCAGCCACAGATGATCGGCAACTCTCAGCCACGGGGCGCACCAGAACGACGAGGGAAAAGGGAAGGCGGCGAGCACCGGCCGATGCGTCTCTTGTGGCAGCACCAGTGCACCACTTTGACAGACAGACTCGACAGACACGGGGCAGTTACAGAGATTCAGCGCCATCCCGCGGTTGGACCTCTCTACCAATCTCAACCCAAAACCTGATATGATCGGTGATCTCCTCTTCCCGCCTTCCGCGAGTGGCGGATTGCCTTAAACCCGACCGACAAAGCGATGCGCGTTCGTACATGCTATTAACGGGTGTACTCCGTACCGGTACAGCTGCCATCGCTAGCAACGCGAATGCTGGGATCAACAGGACACCGGCCATCAACTTTTCCCCAGACTTTGCCAGTCTCGATTAGAGTCGCATCTCGGGGGAACATCTTCTCAAAACATTACTGGTCCCCCTCCTGACAGTCGGCCGGTCGAGCTACATTAAAACTGTGTGTTGTAGACTACAACTACTGGACCAGTGAGGGGAACGTCTTAAGCAGGGATTCTCCAAATAACTGTCTCTGGAAATGCACCCATCCATGGACGATCAGCGATCAACAGGCGCGTCGTGTGCTCGACTTGTGCTGAATGGGTGGTGTCCAGCAGTGGTTGGCCTTCCGAGACAGGCGCCCTGCATCGCCTGCATCGCCCCGGCTCGAGGCCGCTGTTCCTCTTGCGTCCTATCGTGCCATGTCATGGCCAGTAGGGGAACTCACGCGGACGGCGGACGCGGGGGTCTTGAGACGGCGTCAACCAGCCACATACGAACAGCCTCGTCTTGCGTCGATCGAGCGCCGACGACGTACGGAATCTGGATGACTGATCTTCGCAACTGCCAGCGTGACTCTTTTCTGTTGGAGTCGTCCTGTAACCGCTGGGAAGAAGAGCCAAAAATTCGCTACACCTACGACCGTGGAGACTCTGACTCAACACCTTGGACAAGACAGCATTCCAGTCCTACCTCCGCCTCGAATCTCACTGACCTCACTTCAATTCCACACAAGCCATTGTATTGGATAGTACGGAGTACCAAAGATGCATACCTATCATATGACAGGGCACGACTGATGAAGACATGGGGCTCTGCTCTCGAACCCTGGTTGCTTCATCACCATTCCAGATTATCGCTTTCTGTCACTCGCTTCGTAGTAACAATCCGCCTGGTACGTCATTTGCCCTTGGTACGGACACTGCCCAAAACAGTCGACTCCCGCACAGGTTCGACCGAGCGTGGTATGCGACCTACATTGGTGCAAACATCTGTGGCTTTAGCAGAGGCTGGCAGGCTGCGTAAGCCGTACGGAATCCCACGCAAGGGTTCTGTACTGTACCGACCTCCTGGTAACTATAGCGAGGCAAGCAATGTAAGGGACCTCGGTGTACCTGTTTACGTGCTGACATGACGCAAATCTGAGAAGGGGAAAAGCAAATACTACAAGTCTCCAACCCTCGAACCAGCCGATTCCGTCTCAACCAGGCTGCCAAAGTGACGGCATTACCTCACTCATCATCACACCTTGAAGCCTTGGGGCCTTGAGCCGCCTCCATCATGGTACCGGTGACGCTGGACAGTGCCAGATCCAGCCTGAAATCAAGGAAAACCTTACCTTGCGGCCCACGATGATTATCTGATTATCCCCATTACCCGGTGGCCACCCGGAAATACCGGCACGTATAGAGTAGCCCTGCGAGCATCACAAAAAAAAAAAAAAAAAAACACCCGTCAGCGATCAGCCTCCGGTAACCTCATGACGGATTACAGTTGTGAGAGGACGACCACTGGAGCACAAGTTTACTACTTGCTTTTGAGAGGAATAGTACAGCTTGAATCCTGCCTTGTGAAGACTAAGCTGTTATTACTCACCGAACAAAAGGTTTGTCCAGGGTCCTGGTATCCGTATTTTGTAAGCCGGCCACACTCGCCTTTTTCGGCACCGAGCGGCAGATGCCTGTCAGATTTTCTCGATGAGGCTGACCGGGATGGTTCCCCGTTACCTTACTCTCTCGGTGTTAAGTTTGGTAACCTCGCGAACGAGCGGGTTACTTGCGTCCGTCCCACCGGCGGACGGAGACTCGCCTGTATTTATCATCACTCGTTGTCTTTCGAGACCCTTTCGCATCAACTTCAGGTACTCTGTATTTGTTCTTGTCATCGGGGATCCGGGCCTCACAATTTCGGGTCACTGTCCCAGAAGACCCAAAAAGTGAGATGCCGAAAAGGATCTCAGGCATCTTGTCGTGCCTGTTTCCCACGACCGACCGTAAACTAGTGGAGCCTGTTGTCTACGAAGAAATCTTACCAGATGCTACGAGGATAAATCCCACGATCCACAAACGCAAAGTCGCATTATGAAATCACAGCACCGATGGGCACGCAGACAAGCCCAGCCATGCGATGAACGACGCCATGGCGGCGCCTCTGGCGTATGCTAGCCCGCCCCATCTAGCCATCAAGCACCACGATCTAGCTCAGAACAGCATCGTAGCACACGCGTAGCAAAGTTAGCAATAACTCTCTAAACTTCTAGCGTACACTGGGCCCGTAGCGTCGGTCTACCTCGGAGGATTCCATGGCCAGCGGGCAGTTGGTTCGAAATTTCGTCCGGCTCAGTCAGCCGGGATCCATGACTTTCCTAACGGTGCCCCGGCTCGACCGAAAGCAAACAGAGCCTGTCGCACCACTAATACGCGGACTAGCGGGTGCCAAACGCACAGCTGGACCACACCACTCAGTACTCACACACTCGCATCGCGGCTAACCAGTTTGATTTCTCAGAGATGAGCGATGGGCCAGAGGACCCGAGAGCGAGGGCGGGCCGGGAAAAAGAGAGAGGAAAATCGCGTGGAACAGTGGTAGTGTGCATGATCGGTAATTCTCACTTTTCCCAAGCCCTCCATTCCGCCCCCAGTCCCACCAGACTCGTTGGACTTGGACCACTGGTGCGTAACACCGTTCGACATCGTCGATATACCATTGTCTAACTATTCAACGATAAAACTGCCTACCCGTAACCCCAAAAACCAAAGGGCGCAAAGTCCAAGCCCATGAGCCTCTCGCTCTCTTTTTCTCCTCTGTGTGTATAACCCAGTGGTCGTCCGGGTAATGAATCCCCTGTGTGCCCCTTATGCAGCCTTGTACCCAAATTCCGACAAACGCCGCTGAACAATGCCAATCAATGCTTCGTGTTACTCATCTCATGTGTTTCTTTGGTGTCTTGTTCCCTCTTTCTCCACAACACTTAACGGGGGCCAACGGGATCTACGGATACCCTCTGCTCTAGCAAGCAGCATTCCACATCTCATGTGCGAGTATCGCGCCAATGACCGACGCGCCATGCAATCCGGACGTCGGCGTCCGATCACCCCAGATTTGGAGCGCGAAGTGACATGCCACCGCAAGCTCTCCTATCCCCAGAGACGTGTTGATAATGGACGCCAAGCTGGGAGTGTTTTCGTTGCGCATGTCCCTGATTGCGTCGCTGGTGAGGTGAATGGCAATGGCCATGCTCAGGAGCATGGCACCAAACATTACGTCCCGGCTGTACGGGTATGACGCAGATGTCGCGTGGAGCCACGCGCCGAGGAGGATCGCCAAGGTGAAAACGTCCAGTAAGCGGTTGTTACGCAAACCAGCCGTTCGTGCCGAAGGTCCGGAGTTCGCAAGCTCGGCGTGCTTATTTCCTGTTTCCGTCTTCGTTGCCAACGCCGTCTCTCCCTCTTCTTCATCATCGTCTAGGCTCAGAGTAAAACTTGAATTGAGCAGATCGGCCAAGGAGCTGCGTGGATCGCTAGGGTTCGACGCCGAGGGCGCGAAGAACGTGGGTTGCGCGAATGCTACCTTGCCTGTATCGCCGCTCGCGTCCTCGCCCCGCGACTTGGACGCATCCGTCCTGCCGGTTGTGAAGATTGACTTTTTCTCCACCGGTTTCGTCAATATCTTGGGACCGTTGCGAAGCTTCTGTGCCGGTGTTATTGGCGCGGGAGGAACCTTGTACCAGAACGGGCTCGAGTTGGGGCCTGGATCAGGTTGCCCGAATACCTGGTTCGGTGCCTTTGGAGGTCCAAAATCATTGAAGGCCCGGTGTTTGGATTGTGTCGGAGACCAATCCATTTCCTCCGAATACTGGGGCTGAGGCAGCTTTTGCGGAGTGTTGATGCCAATGTTTCGGTTGCTCGATCTGTGCTGTAATTCCCGCTGGAAGAGTGCTGGTGATGCCGAGCCAACGCTCGTTGGACTTGGAGGGATTCCGGGCCTCGGGCTGGACTCGGCCAGAATGTCGTCCAAGAGATTTGCCATGTTCTTATTGTCGTCTTCTCGAGCTTGTGCCGTTTGCGGTCTCGGTGGTGACGCAGCTGGTGTTCCGGTGTTCTGGAATAGGGGTGTCATATCCACACGTACGGATCGTTGGGCAAGTATGTATATCTGGGGTATCGAGTCAGCAGCGCCTCGAGGAGATCGTGATTCGTGTCGCTCACAGCCAGCATCAACACAGCCATCAATCCGTGGAGGCTCATCTGTGCACTTCCTTCAGCTGATCGCCCGCCTTTCATTTCGGTCATTCTCATGGCAAGAAATCGCGTAAAGATGATGAGTCCCTGAAAGGTGTACCAGTGTGACAATCCCAGGATATGTCGAGAGAAGCCACGGAAGACCTGAACAAATTTAGGGTTCCACCAGATGCTCACAGCATTGGCCCATAGACTCCAGTGTATTAACCTCTCAGGCCGAGGGAGAAGCAGTATAAGAGCAAGTGAAAGCCTCTGGACCATTGTGCTTTCGGCATCCGCATCCGGGTCTCGCATCGGGCCTTCATCATATTGCGTCGCAAAGACAGCAGCCAAGGATGCAACATGCCACAGGTATTGACAAGAAATACCACCAAACCAGAGCCACTTTCCGACTTTGGCCGCAATGTCTAGCGAGGTCAATTGCTTTGGAGCAACCCTAACTTTCCTGCTCCTATCCATCATGCGTCGTAGGTGGTCGGTCCGCGCCGTGTAGCCGGCTTGATCTAGCTGAGTTTGAACTTTGGGCTCGCACTGAGCGCATATCTGAGGGTATCGCTGCTCAAGTCGTCGACGGAACTTGTACATATTCCTCTCGAGTTCGGCATAGTCGGGGTGGTCTGGATCTTCGGGCAGGTATTGTGCCAGGGAGCTGGTGAACAGGTGCTGATTCTTGAGACATGTCGGGCAGAAGATGCTTTGTGATGGGGTGCTGAAGTCGGGGGACTGAGACCGTGGTATCGCGTACGTCGTCGCAGCAGGCGCTGAAGTGGTCTTGGCTACTGGAGGATCGGTGATGTCTCCGCGCTGGGTTACTGTTAGATGGAATCGCGACTCGCAATGCGCCGTGGATTGGTTTACTTACCTCGTCCAAATAGTTTGTCGCGTCGCATTTTAGGCAGAGAAACTCTCGAATCAGGCCATCGTATCTTGTTGATGAGCGCTTGCCGCAGTAAAAGCAGGTCAGCAGCCTGCCGCTTCTCAAGTTTGCCATGACGCTTTGAGGTTCGAGGCTCCTCGGGCCACACAAAGCATTTATGCAGGTTGACGGTATGTCTTTCGTCGATATTGTTGTAGCCCGGAACTTTCGAGATTCTGCCGGGCGGTCTGCACGTGTTCCTGGGAGAAAGCAGGGGAAGTCACAGGGGTCCTCGAGTCCCATCAGGAACATGAGGTCATCCGCTTTTTCTGTCAGGAACCTCCTAGTGGATTACCTACACTCAGGTACTTTCTGAAGCCCGGCACAAGGCGGAAGCTCAGAGCAGCACTGCTCCAATTGGATCAAACAGGATACCCACAATTCTCCAGTGACAGCTTCGGAAGTCACTGCCAGCGGTGCACTTACATCCACTTGAAAGCCATTCACCTCACGACTGAAGGCCATTTGATACCTCTTCGATGAAGTGAGTCTTGATTCTTTGTCAGGGGAACCACTCAATTTATCATTGTTCCAGCCGAGTAGTCGTCGAAGATTGACATTTTAAGGGTTCACTCACAAGACGCCAAGCTGTGTGTAATATTTTGTCCATTCTTCTTCAGAACAGATTACTGATATCACCATTTAAACAGGTTGAGAAATCGCAACAACACCACACACTAATGGGAAATGGCATTTGAACATCAATAAAGACCTAATCACAAGACGACAACATGGCGGCTGCATCTACTTTGATCGGCATTGCTTCTGCTTTCTGCGTCCTCGGCCTAGGCCTCATTCTCAAGTCCTCATGGAGGGCCTTACTCTTAACCCTGGTTCTGGGTGTCATCTCCAGCGGCGTCTTTCTCACGGTAATTGAACTATCTGTCTTTGAAAATCTGCTCATTACTGACATTATTTAGGCCCGACACCTTCAAATCCAGCAGTCCCGTTTGAAGCGACCGATCCATTTATCTGATGTCGCTGCGAAGAAGCCCGCCAGTCCCAGCTTGCTTAAAGGAGCTTACTTCCTCATTGTGTTAGGCTCAGGTGGCCACACCAAGGAAATGCTGGCTATGATGGAAATCAGCTTTCCTAATGTGCCCGACATGCACCGACGTTATCTCATCTCTAGCGGTGACTCAATGTCACTCAAACACCTGGGTGCTTTTGAAGACGAGCTCAGAACTATTCACGGCGAGGGGCAGGTGGGAACCTTTGATAAACACATCGTTGCGAGAGCCAGGAAGATCCATCAAAGTCTACTTACAACACCCTTCACCGCCATGATGTCGGTGGCTCAAATATTCCCCTTGCTGCTGTCCTCTCCTTTCAAGGGCCCCAGAAGCCGCCAACAGTTTCCCGACATCATTCTCACCAATGGCCCTGCCACTGGCTTCATTGTCGGTCTGGTGGCGTACCTCCTCAAGATGCTCTACATTGTTCCAGAGGACACCATGCAGGTCATCTACATTGAGTCCTGGGCCAGAATCCAGACCCTCAGCCTGACAGGGAAGCTGTTTCACTATACTGGCATTGCCGACATTTTATTAGTCCAGCATGAGCAAGTAGCTAAGACCTACGGGGTTACCAATGCAGGTTGCATGGTTGTGAGAAAGAAGACATGACAATATGTCAAATCTCAATCATTTCCAGCCCTTGTGAGGGAGAAAGGTTGGTGGATGCTTAGCATCAGACAGAATACATAGCTATCGTCCCATGCTTCTTTTCATCAATACAAGCCCATACACTTAACGAACTCGAGTAAAGGAAAATTCGACGTATTCTGATATGTTATGATCTGACCGCCTCGTAAGCACTGATCTTAAAGCGTGAAGCTCACTCCAGAACGGCCACGACACTCTGGTCAACATCTCATGAACAGGGCCAGGCACAGAAATGGGCGCATCAAATAGCTATTCGCAGTCGTAGCAACCTGGAATTGTGGTATTATACAGATCTTTGTAGTACATATACTTACAAGGCCCGGGGCCTCTTTGCTCAAGCCGCCGCCTCTGCCTCCGCCTCGGCAGCAACCTCTTCCGTCGTCTCTTCACCAAAGTTGGCGTAACTGGCCGTGCGCGCCTGCTCGATCATGACAGCTCTGTTGCTCGCCCAGCCCTTCCAGACCTCGAATTCCTTGTCCTCCAGATCCTGTGCGATTTGCAATCTGTTCTTGCCAAAGTACGCTCCGACGTGTCTCGCCTCCTCCCTGGCGACGCGCTTCTCAATCTCCTCCTCCTGGCGCAGCGCGTAGAACTCCTTTCTTGCGATGTCGTATGCCTTTGCTCTCGGGTATTTCTTGTTGTGCATGAGCCAAAGCTGTCGCTGGACGACGCTGTCTAGTTGTTAGCTGTGGCTCCGAGGGGAGGGAGGAGCTGAGCATTCGGGGTCAGCTTACCATTCACCGGTCAGAGGGGTTCTGTATTGGCGAACGCCCTTAGACCAGTCGCATCTCTGATAATCCTTTCCATCTGTTTCCAAAATCATCCTTGGGCGCGCCAATTCCCAAGGGTGGTCTCTGAAGAACGTCTTCCGCAAGGAGTCCTCCTCGTGCACGATCTGTTGAGGTTTGTAGATGCCTTGAGGCTTGCGATGCTTGCGATTAGAGTTCTGGGTGTTGACGATAGCCGGCCTCGTAATGATTTCGGAAGGGGGGATATCCCTCATGACCTGGAACCATGGTGGTTCATAAACGGGATACTGTGGGAGGATTTTCGAGTTGAGCTCCTGGCTCACGGTCTGGTAGATCCGTGCAGGCCTGATCTGTCGCCCCATCTTGATCTATCAAGCTTGTCAGGCGTCTGGTAAGCTGAATCGTTTGGGCAATTGAGACTCACTATTGAGATCGAGGCGGATGTGGCACGACTGTTCGATCCTGTCTGGGGTGCCTTTGCAGGTGATGAGCTCCGTCCGTCGCGAACTGCAACTCAGAAATTTGGAGCGTCGGCCAATCCTAACGCCGGCACCGGCTTTCGCCGTCGGCCCCACTCCACCCATGCACTTCACCAGCGAAATAATATTCCCATCCCAATCATCCCGGAGCTTTTAGTAACGCAGCTGGCAGCTCACCAACGATCCCCAAACGCCAATTCCATTCACTTATTCGCCAGCGAGCGCGTGCTCTTCGATGGACCGGTGATGCCCTGGCCGCAATGCCCGACAACCCATGAAAGTACTTAGCCGGATAGACGGGTCCGTATGCGGTGCCATTCTCTCGACTCGACCCTGCGCAGCTCGAGCTGCAGTTTCTTCCCGGCCAGAGCTCCGAACCGAGAGACCTTCGAGGGCGCCGGCGTCCCAGCACCACAGGGACCGCACACGATGCTCTCGCCCACCGGCTACTCAGTGTCCTCGGACAGCTTCATGGCTGCTGTCGACCTTTCTGCCGGCGCCCTCTTCTGTTCGCCCTCGTGCTCCGACAAGCTCACACCCGGCCATCCGCGGACGAACTCAATCATACAGCCACGTTGCCGCCTCCGCCGTTACCTCGGCTAGTCGATCACATCACGTAGTCATGCGGAAAGACAAAAACGTCCTACTCGGCTTCGTGGAGCATGAAGATGTTGGAACAGTGGACGAACACCTGGAACTCGCCAGGGATCCCTACCTGAACAGATACGCCCAACCAGAGCCTACTCCGCTCACGATATCGGAGAGGAAAGAGGACCAGCAGTACCCGTCATACCATGAAGCACTACGTGGCGACGAAGACATAGGACAGTTGGTCACCAAGCTTGGCACTGCTGTAAGCACCAAGATGAGATATCCAGCGAGGGTTGACTTGGACACCATACATAGCCTATACGCGGCGCTACCGGAACCTCGGATGATTCATATGCCAGCAAAGCTGCGCCATCGCTTGCTCAAGATATTCGGTACACCGATTAAGAAGGAGACGCAGACGATGCTTCGGTACTTCTCCCTCATCGGCGACGCGAAGGACTGCGGGATTGCTCTACGACAAAGCGAATGGAATCATGCACTGGCCCTGGCAAGCAGATATGTCGGCAGAGTGACGGATACTGAGGCCGAGGCTGCTCTTCAGTTGTGGAAGGAGATGGAAAAGCTGTCTGGGGTCAAGGGGAACGCTGTCACTTTCAACATCCTTTTCGACGCGGCGTCCAAAGCTGGAAATTTCGCACTGGCCGAGATGCTCTATGAGGAGATGAAAAAGCGCGGATACAGCTTCAACCGCTTCCATCACGTCAGTCTGATTCACTTCTTTGGGCTCCGCGAAGATCCCGATGGCGTCCGGGCTGCATACAAAGAACTGGTGGAGGCCGGGGAGATGGTTGACACCGTGGTCCTCAACTGCGTCATCTCTAGCTTCTTGAGATGTGGGGACGAGGATGCGGCGCTGAAGGTTTACGGTTATATGAAGGACAGCTACTCGGCGGCTGCCAAGATACCCCAGATGGACCCTTCGATGGATAAGGCTGTCATCCATATTCACTCCATGTTTGCACGCGTCGGCAAAAAGATACCAGAGCTCCGCCCACAGCTACAAGAGCTCGCGCATGAGACTCCTGATATGCGAACGTACCGCATTCTGATTAAGCATTTTGCTATAACGAAGGGGAACCTGAGCAAGACTGCCCAATTTCTCGACGAGATGCCACAATTCGAAGTGCCCGTTCACGGCAGCATCTTCCTCGCCATCTTTGAAGGGTTCAGCAAGTATGGCGCATCTCCGTTTTCTCCTTGGACAGGTGATCGGCTTGAAAACGTCTTGGCCGCGCTATTTGACGCGATTGACAACAAAGTCCAGGGTCTAAGACTTGATACCTGGCTCATGATCTGGGCGCTTCGGGCCTTCATGAAATGTACAAATAACGAAAAGGTATTGGAGGTGTACGAAGATTTCAAGAAGAGGTGGGAATTGGAGCCGGATAGGGCGGACTTTATGGATCACTATCTTGCCAGACTTATGGACGGAAAGGATGCATTCATCTTCCGGCATGGGCCTGGGCAGCAGAAGAAGAAGCACAAGGCGGTCAGGAAACGGCCTATGTAAAATAACCTATACTTTAGACAAAGATACCAGTAATTTCAATTACCTGTCCATACCTCATACAAGCTTCTTACATTGTCTTGTTATTCATGATTGACAGGTCAGTTCGCCCTTCTCCCCTCCCCACCTCGCAGGTCGTACCCAGCAGATCTTGATCCGATAGCCATTCTAGCATCTGAATCTATACAAGAATCCCTTATACATCCCTTCACTCCACTCAGCTCACCAGCAACAATAGGTGGCCCTCTAGGTCGGTGGATCAGGGCAAATTGGTTGAGTGATGGAATGGTTTACGAGCAACATTCACTAATACCTTGAGCCTAAGCGACAGGCCCCGAGTTCGAGTTCGCACACGATCCCAGTATGAGCACCATGATAAGCAACAAGAGATGTAGTCTGCCAAACTGAACTCTTGTTTGACCCTTTAGGTCTTCAACACCTTCCGATTGGCTACAAAGTGCAACCAGCTGCCACTTGAGGAGGGAACTGCGATTTCCATCTCCATTCACCTCTGATGCTTATCCCAGTGCGGATACACTCTGGAATCTGGCGTGGCTCCATGGTCTGCGATCCACACACATCACAAAGAAAGACGCCAAGGACAGATCGTGATTTCGGTTTCCTTGCTGATCCATTGAGGACGAAAAGTCTCTATTTCGGCTTGTGTACAAAGTCGTCCTCCGTCTCAACCCAATCCATGCTCTACAATGGCGATCGACTCAAGAAAAATTGTGCAAAGAGGGCCCTTAAACCTTGGGCTTCTTGGTTTGCCAAACTGTATATCTCGTCAGTACTCGATATCGGCGGGATTCGGAGCCACGGTAAAAAGCACGCACCAGCAATGCCGAAGGGGGCGAAGAAGCCGACAAAGGAGTAGGTCCAGAAGCCAAGGCCGAAGAACTTGCTCTTGGGGTTGAAGGGAATGTTGGTGTAGGGGCCCTCGGGGTAGTGGTAGGGCGAGGACATCTGGGCGCGGGTGGTCTGGAAGCCGCGGCGGGCGACCGTGGAAGGGGTCTTGGGGACCGCGCGGGCGGCGGCACGGGCGAACATCTACGGGGGACTGGTCAGCATCAATTGGACTTTTGGAGGCATTCGGGAGGTCGTAGTTACTTTGGCGGTGTGTTATGAGGCGATCGCGAAGCGCAATGGGGGTAAGGAGAGGTGCGATTGTGGTGTTGAAGTCATCCAAAAGAGTGGTCTGAGACTGTGCAGCCGGCTAAGCTCCAAAGATCTCCAAGTCTGTTCCCGGTTATGTAATCACACGTGACTGATCTCAAGCCTTAGGTAGCAGCGAACGGTCCAGTCCCGCGACTGGGATTTCGAAGCTACGATGGCCGGACACCGCCTTCCGTGTCTAGACGAATCTCAACCCCCGTCATGCATGTATTTTGGAATTTTTTTTCTGCCTCTTTCATGTTGCTTGCCTTGGCCGACCCGCCAACTTTTTCGCCCGAGCACCTGCGAGTTGCGACCGAACGCACATTGCCGGGACCAGACAAAATTGAGGAGTTGCCTCTTGTCAACACCGTCCAAAAAAGCGACAGACGCATTGCTGCACTCCCAGCGTCTCGCGTCTTTGCATTTCGACGGCTTGCAAAGGGTTTGACTTTCTTT